CAATTTTTGGCGCGTGTGCAGTACGGAAAAACTAAAACATTAAAAACGATTTGTCACACCCATCGGTTTGGAACAACTTCGACAGAGCAGCGTGATGATATATCCTTTTTGAATAAAATTATTTTCCAGAAGCAGCAAATGCTTTGACCAGTCTTCAAAAAGTTTGCTCGTTCCCATCCGTACCTGCATCAACAAGTCACAGCAGAACAAAAGCACGAAGACGTGATGTAATATTACAAGCCCTTTTCAGCACTTGCCTTCTCTGCAATACTACAGCACAAGACGCGAAAGCATCGCATACGACCCGCACTGCAAAGAACCTACAAGGATAATCATCACAGCGGATCCGAAATGTTGGCAAAATTTTACTATGTTGTAGCATAGCCTCGTAACATTTTCATTCTCCCGTAAGAACATATAAGTGATTACTGTTACGACGAAAAACCTCGTTTTACTAGTTGGTTTCCCCAGCGTGCAGTGAAGAGTTACCACTGTCGAAAGTTGGGGGGGGGGGGGGGGGGGGGGGGGAGGCTCAACTTCTTTCAGTGGGAGGCTTGCGCCCCCCTTGCCCCCCCCCCTCCGGCTCATACACATATGCACACAGCTCACAAAAAGCGCAATTGCGTGCATTTGTATACGTGCCGCCCGCCTATCTACACGAGCGTAACGATGGTTCCGCCATTTGTAGCCCGACCTCGGGGCAAATACCACGGGCTCAGGCCTTCCGAAAACCCAGGCCCCACTGGGTGAAATTATTTGCACGGCGTGCCCAGGCTTGAGGTGGCGGGCTCGGGTGGGGCCGGGCTTGGACTTTGCCCACTTCATCGTCCCATATACGTTGTCTATACCTACTCTTACGTTCCAGATATTGCATCTCGAAAAACAGCTTCTTTTATGCGTGGGAAAAGCTACTTGGAGAAGGTTCACGAGTGATTAGTAGTGAATTTCCTTTGCTTCGAGAAGCATGTGGGGCTGCTAGATAGTCTAGGCTCTTACATATTTAACATCTCGCTATAATTAGGTTTAATAATTGCATTGGCATGTTGCTTTGCAATCGCAGTGATAATATATAAATTTATATCTATAACTTATTATCGGAAGAGCGATCACAGAGCTACAAGGCGGGGCTCCTAAGGCACCAGCCAAGACAGCCAGCCCAAATGAGGCAACTACCCTTGGGAACGCAAAAATTCCAGACCGTATGGAGAAAATTCTGGAAAAAGGCCCAAGTACAGTTTTGAGCCACGTTTAGCTGTTACACAGCTTCTTGCCATGGGCAGGAGAATAGGAGGCTAGAGGACCAAGACTGCGAGTGAGTTATGAGCGAAGCAGTGGACTGAATCCTCAAAACACACTCTGAGGAAGAAATCTGGAACAGTGCCCTAATGAGTTCCATCCCTTGCCTGGAGAAAAATGTACTTCAAGTGGTACAGGCAGACAAAGAAGGTGGAATTGTTGTTCTGCCCAAAACCTTAGCACACTCAGAGCAAGAAATCTGGAACAGTGCCCTAATGAGTGCCGTCTCTTGCCTGAAGAGATATGTACTTCAAGTGATACAGACAGACAAAGAAGGTGGAATCGGTGTTCTGCCTAAAACCTCCATGAAGGAAAAATACAGGCATGCCGTTTTAAAGAACTTCAAAGACAATTCTTCTGAACCAAAAGAACGAGAGAAAGCCGTCATGAAGCTACTCAAGCACATGCACCTGAACTCAACAAGGCAGCTTGTCAACATTGCAGATCCAGAGTTCCTAGAGGTATTCTACACGAGCAAAACCTACAAGTCTGATTACACTCTTCGAACAATTGTCCGAGCAGACATCTTTGCAGCGCCACCGTGGCAAATTTCTACTCTCTAAAGAAGCTGTCGATAATGAACTTTTTTTCTGGTAAGACGCTCAAAGTAATTTTTTTTCAATTAATGAAGCTCAAGGGACTGATCGAACTGCAGGACTTGTATTAACTCGATAGCGTTAAAGCGCTCGTTTTGCGTGTCAGCAGTTGAAAGCGAAAAACCTTGTGCGCGACCAAAAAATCGAAAAATATGCATATAAAATAATTCATAAAAAGTTCTGGGTTCGCGTGGGGTTCGAACCAGGTCGTTGGCATGGCAAGCGGGAGTTCTACTACAGAACCACTCGTCTGCTTAGGAATAGTGAAAATTACTTCCTCTGCTTTATCTTCATTCAAGAGCCATCCAGTTGGACAGCAACTTTTACATTCAGTGAACAGGCATCGGTATAGGTTTAGCCACAGATCCTATATTGTGCGACATATTTTTAGCTTCTTTTGACAACGTTATCGTAGCTCAGTTGGTAGACTCGTCTGTAGCACAGGCATTCAGGTACGTAGATGATTAGTTAATTGCTGCGAAGAAGAGTGATTGCAACAATTTACACGACCGATTCGATAACACACTATAGTCGGTTACAGGTCAAGAATAAATGCAAGCTCTGTTCACAGCGGTCACCATCCCACCCCTATGCCAGAATTTGCATACATGTCTTACTCAATTACAGTCTGTAATTTACGCGACTTCAGACAGATTTCACGGATTTCAGACGTATATATCACTTGCCCGTGCAGGCTGTGTTCATACTGTTAGTTTGCGGTTGAAAGTTTTAACTCTTTACAAATTTGATTAAAAATTCCGACTTTACGAAACTGTTAAACGTAATGTTTTTACAAGCAACAAACTCAATTTGCAACATGCGTAGTATTTGCATTACCATTGAAAACGTGCTTATCGTTCCGTTGCCCAGATAAATGACAGGCATGCTGCAGCACTGGGGGCGGAGCATGTATTTATTCTTTGGTTGTAACCGACCATAGACATTTTCATCATGAGGAGGACTCAAGTTCATGCATGCATTGCCAATCAGTAACCGAATTTAGTTTGCATCAAGAAAGCATGTATGCTGTGCCTGTCAGCCTAGGTGAAAGAACACCTTGTTGCCCCATGACAGCACGCAGACCAAAGTGATTAAGAAGGGCACAGCCACCCCGTGTACTAAGGTGTCATTAAATTGGTCATGTCAGCATGAATGTGAATGTAGCCCGATGAATCGGCTAGCATGGCTACGAGAGACAGGCTATCCCATTCTGTCATTACAACCGTCTGCGAAACAATCTTGCAGAAAGCAAAAACAGAACGTGGCAACAAAAGAAAGAGGGGAGAGGCCAATGCACATTGTTTTGTACTTGCACAACTAGTGACATATCATTAAAGAAAAGTTTCAAATAGGCGCCAAATTAACTTGCTTTTCAATGCCCCTTGCAAGCGGTCTGCGATATGTGCACTCATGAAAAAAAAAACAGCCCCCCTCCTCCCCATGAGTGATACTAATCACAAAACCCACAGTACACTAATTGCACGTGTAATGCGGTGTATCAAATTTCCATGAGCTGTGAGGAAGTTTATATTGGTCAACCAGAACGATGTTTCAATGAGATCGCACTCAACACGGCAATAACATTAAGAATGAATAGGGTAGCCATTTAGGGGACGATTTCAAGAAGTGCGCATGTGTTTTCATGTTTGCGAAAACAAAATAAGAGAAGGAAAATCTAAGAAAGAGTAAGAAAGAGTTTGTAGAGGAGTCATAAGTCATAAGGTAGCAGATGTGTCAAGTTTGCTTTTACTTCAACAATCGCAGAAGGAAATAGACTTCCTGAAAGGCAGATTGTAATTGCCATTAGCGAGTATTAGATGTGTGCATGCTCTTCTGAGACTGTATAAAAGAATGTAATTAACATTCAATTGGCAGTCAGAACTTGTCTCGTGGTCTGCGTTTCTTCGTCATTGTTCCTTTCGTGCCGAGACTTCCTTTGCTCTGCATAGGGCACAGCATTGCGCTGCTAACAAATATTAAATTCTGGCGGTTTACGGGTCACAACCACAATCCTGCCAGAAAAACCGTAGCGGCGAATCCCGAATTAATTTCAATCACATTGGATTCTTGAACGAGTAACAAAATCCAAATACAAGTTCTTGCATTTTGCCCCCATCACAATACGGCTACAATTTTTTGTACTAGCACTGTAAAAAACACAAATTTTGAAAATTTCTCTCCTTCGTTCACTGATAGAGCAGCAACAAGATTTGGTGTACTTAACAAAACTGATTTGTTTGATATGTAGGGTTCAATGTCCCAAAACCACCATATGATTATGCGAGACGCCATAGTGGAGGGCTCCAAAATTTCGACCCCCTGGGGTTCATTAACGTGCACCCAAATCTGAGCACATTGGCCTACAGCATTTCCACCTTCGTCGAAAATGCAGCCTCTGCAGCAGAGATTCGGTCCCGCAACCTGCGGGTCAGCAGCAGAGTACCCTTAGCCACTAGACCACCGCGGTGGAGTGTACCTAACAAAACTAATCGTGTGCGAATATTCAAACGAATATTACAGTATTTGAAATGAACGAATATATGTATATTAGTCCGTATGTAATCCCTTTAAAGGTGTCATTACTGCAGTGGAGGAGTGCCCAGCCATGAAAAAAACATATCCAGGGGAAATCCGCACTGCCATGAAGTGCCAGTTCAAGGTGGTTAAATCAATATATTACCCTCACATCAATTCATCATTTTTTTTTTTAGTTTAAAAGCTTGTTATGCCAGCTTACTCTGAATATAGTAAATTAGTAATAGTAGAGTATAGTAATAGTAGAGTATTTTACAGGTTATAACCTGCATTTTACCGAATGTCAAACCCTGCCACTATTCAAAGCTGAATCCACTTCCTTTACAATTGAAATAAGGCATGATTAATTAGTTGGGTCATGACAAATGTGCTCATTTCTCTTTAAAATATGCTATACATACTATTCGAATTCGCTTAAAACCTAATACTGACTATTTGCAGAAGCCTAAACAAATCCAATGCCCACATAGGGGAAAAGGCAGGCTGTTGGAAAATGAAATATCACGCAACCTTGCAATCCACTTGTCAAGAAACTTATGTTTGTGAAGTTTGTTGGAGTCAAGACAACCAGACTAAGGTTTAACATGTATTTACAGTATGGTACTATGGTACATCAGAGGTCTATATATCCCTGATGAGGAGCACTAGGTACCCAGTGCACCAATACAGAAGGGAATGCCAGCATTTTTGTTTTTGTTTATGGCTGGCTTACTATATATATCGGCAAATGAAGTTCAGCCTTGACGGAATCATTCTGAACACATACTAAATTCTTCCCCTTCTTTATTGGCGCAGTGCATACACCTGAATACCCAAATGAAATTCACTGTAGTTTGCAAATGGTAAGGGGAAGAAAAGGTTTCTTATTTAACATCGCCTATAGAATCCACTGCATCAGCCATTTCTCCCACCACAGGTGCCTAAATACAAAGGCAAAAACTCACCAATGGTGCACTTATCACAAAAAGACAATACAAATGCGCTCAGTGCATGCAGCGTCACAGCTGAACAAATTAGGAGAGAAAACTATGGTTTATCCACTGCAAGATGCAAAGGACAGAGAATGCCGAGTTTCTGCAGTCGTGGGAAACAATGTGACCATGCAATAAACAAGCACCAGCTCATAGGAGGAGTCTTGTCAGCTGATCGTAAAATGCCACACCTGGAGCACGGTGCGAGGACAAAATACTGGGACGTCAATATGTACTTGAAACAATAACTTAGCATTAGTGCAACATGCAAATGCCTTTGGAAACACCAAAACTATGTTAACACTTATGCACACACATGTGCACATGCATTTTGTGACAATTCCCACCGGTGCTCCTTCACTGAATTTATTAAGAGAGCTTAGGCAAACAGAAAACACACATACAAAAAAACAACAAATGTACAAAAATATGATTATGTGAAAAATGAATGTCCAACCACTTAAAATTAGCATTAACACGTTGCACACATGACCACAACATCACACACAACAGATCCAGATGGTTCCCAGTCCTGGCCAACCGTGCAGAATTCATGAATGAAACAGCACAAAGCTTGCTACCTCGAAAGGCAGACACCACAACACGGAAGGCTATACAGAACATGGGAGACATGAGCAGCTAATTCCACTGAGCAAACAAAAGAGAAATGTGGGGCGAAAGGGGGAAAGAAATTCCTAAGGTAGTGTCGGACTTCTTCCTCTTTCTGGCACTCTATGAAAACCAAAAATGCTCTATGAGGCTAATACAAAAACCACTGCACAATTAAGCTAGAAACGAGACTCTTGAAATTAAGCTTGAGTGTAGGTATGTTACGTAGAAAATTTAAGTGCTGGTATGTGTTGCATGGAAAAGCAAATAAATTAGCAAACAGCTCAGAATATCTCGAAGCATGCCAAACTGGTAGTACCATCACATTCAATATGAGCTGCAACGTGCGAGCTTGACGAGAACAATGCTTGCGAAACAAGAGTACAATGGGTTCTTGCCAATCCATAAATATGCTTTTGTTCTAATGTCTGGTGTGTGCATGGAGGGATATTACACCAGCCCACCAAGCAGCCGTAACTTCATCGTGAAAACTAAAGAAAATAGGAGCAGTTACAATGCCAAAGCAGCGGTGCACCCTGTCACAGCACACCGCATCAAAGACTCAGGCCATCCGTGCTTCTCAGTAGAAGTCTCCCACAAGGACAAAAAAGCAAAGGGATGAACATACTGTTGTAACAGCAACACCTTCCCAACCTTTTCTCTCGGGTTTCAGCCATGGCAAGTGTATTGCTGGTCGCAGTCGCACTGAATGTGATAGAACATCAGGGTTCCTACCAATGCAGGGAAATTATATTCCCCAACGCGCCCAGCGCAAAAGGGAATGAACAATATAGCTGTACAGTAAAACAGACAACAAAGAACAAAAGGGGGAAGGGGGTGACAATAAGCAAGCAAGTATTCACAGATCCAGTACCATAGCAACAAGCACCAGCATTTCATATGGCCCTAGCACAAGCAGAGGAACATGAATACCATACAGAAGTGACTGCAAATACCAGTGTCAAATGTTCAGATTTACGCAGCAGCTGATGAAGGCAATTTGTGCAAAAAAAACTATTCCAAATCATACAGCAATACAAACTTGACTAATATGGCAAGGATTTTTGAATGTTATCAAAATATAATCAACTTTTACAAAATTGTTCTCAAAACAAAAGGCGTGGCATTCAACAAATACTAAACACACAAAGATACAGTACATTTCACCTTATTTGAATTGGCCACTTTCATGCTGGGTTTCGTGCAACTTGAACCAAACATTGTCATTTCTAAAGACCACAATTTTTTTTAAGACTTATGAAACCGAACAGAACAATGTTCCAGTATTGAGCATTTTGCATCACATCCTCTTGCGGGCTTGTTTAGCAAGCTTGGCATGAAAATGTTTAAGGATGTCAGTTCTAACTTTGCAGCCTACATTAAAACGAAGAAAAAAGTGCTGCAAGTAAGGAACTCTTCTCTGAGCCATTTTAATACAATTTGCAGCTGCTTTAAACATAACTAATGTGCTAAAATAAAATGGAAAGTGACATATATGCATACGAGGCAAAGCTAATTTAAAAGTGCAGAAGATTTTAAATTACTCCAGATGTTCAATCTGCTATTGGCATTTGATGTTTACAATATGCCGCTTCATATTTGATTCCAGTTACATGAAACACAGCACTCCAGTTCAATATTAATATTACAAAAGCCAGAAAGCCCTTTAGCCACAAAAGCTTACAAGGTTTGTCAAAAAAAGGGGGGGAAGAGATGGGGGAGGAGGGAAGGCAATACTATCACTATCACTAATGAATGTCATAAAAAACAAGATACTACACTTACAATATAAGAAAATTAATATTTGAAGCAACAGTGTTGCCACAATATCAATTTCCAACACATTAATGCTGAAAAAGGTTAATAACAAACCAACAACACACAAAAAAAAAGAAAGAAAAAAGGGGGTGCAAAGACGAGGGTGACACCAATGCAGTCCAAGATGTTCTAGCTAAGCTTACTAAGGAGTGTTTGATATGCTTGTAATAGCAGGTCCAGTCTCTTTTTGTGTCTTCTCTTCAATAAGGCTTTCTTCTTGATATGCTTACACAAAACTCTGGAAAGCTTCACCTCTGTGTTTTCATGAAAGACTAACAATATTAATAATATTGAAATAAAAAAAAAGCCTGCTTTTCTTTAACACAGTTTCTATCTCCTATTACAGCAGTAACTTGGGTAGGTTTCAAATGAGGACACCTTTTTTGCCAACAATGTGCAACATTGCTTTGTTAAGTACATTGAGCACAGTCGTATGTAGCCATTCTGTTTTAACTCTAAATTTTGTAATGGCAACATTCACAAATGCTGTCCCAGTTTTCAATGCAGTCAAAAAAATGCTTTGAAGCCTGGTGCAAAGTGCTTAACAGAGGAATAAATATTGCTTTCCTTTCTGCATGCCAACAATGGGGTTATTCTGAGCTTACAGAAAATGCTACAGTGGCCTGTGCTGTGTGAATTCACAACACTCGTCACCACAATGAACAAATAATCCGATATTGCAGATGGAAACAGAGTGCACCTACATTGAAGCAACACAGAGGAACAGGTAAACCACCTCACTCGACAGTACTTCAACAGTACATTTTGTTGGACATTTTTCAGAGATGACTGTTCCTTTAAGGATCTAAGTACTTTAGAACATATACCAGGCTGTTAATCCGGCTTCTGTACTTGTCACTGATCCCAACTTGTTGCCATTCTTGATTTGCAAAAAACAAAGTTTCTTTTTCCCCCTTCACAAAATAGTTAATGCAAGGTAAAAAAAGAAAGAAAAAAGATAGAGAAAGAACTGAGAGAAAACAAGAAGGTGCCACTGGCGGAAGGTGAGCAGAAAGTGCAGACATTCTAAGGGTGCCTGCAGATGCAGTGACTAGGCTGGCCAGTCCCCTGCCTGGCCCTGTTGGCAAGAAGTTGTGCCACTTGTGGAATTGCAGCCAGCCACTCCTCACTTAATGTTGACTGGCTTCCTTCGTGCATAAACTGCAGCACACGTTGACAAGGACACATGGGCGGCTATGGCTATGGAGCACTTTGCTGCAAAGCGAGGGAAGCAATGAAATATAAAAGTCATACAGTGCAACAAAAAGCAAAAATTATTGGTTTGAGACATAGAATTCATGAGGATAAGTTCAATTCTATTTATATTTTAAGCATATTCAGCTCTTCCAAAGCAATCGTGCACTTTTTTGCCAAAGCATAGCCGCTCTAGAACTAAAAACACAACTTGGAAGATGCCACACAATTATCACACTATCAGGGATCTCAGTACTTTCAACTCCTCGTTGTCAGTGTAACCTTTCAATCCCCATATTCACTCATAAGCAGAAGTGTGTGGTACATGTGAACATCTTTGAAAGAGATCTGTCTGACCGGGGGACCTCGATTCCTCCTCCTCGACCGCTCTTCTACATTGTGTCATAGTTAAAAAAAAAAAAGAGGAGGAACCAAACTGAAAGAAAATCAATGTCACCACTTCCAGAACTGATAAAATCAATCCCCGAAAAAGGGACCGAAGTGGCCCCAAAATGTCAGGTCTATCTACAAACAGTAGATGGAGTCATTTCAGCATTTAGAAACCATATTAATTCTTACGTGCAACACTTTTACACGCGAGTAAATTTCTAAAAAATTGATGCAACAAAGAAAGATGGCCACAGTAAATCTGGCTCAGACAAAAACCGGACATTTTAAAAGGCACATCATGTGAACAGAAACTCTGAAGACAATGATTCCTTCCATTTAACCTTATGAGGTTCATGCATTATTGCAGTTATTCTCTGTTGGTGTGTTCTGATGGGTACCATGTTCTATTTAAGTTGCAACACACGATCACACACGATCGCGTGGTCCTAGGCTTGATACAAGTATATCCACCACTGCATGCCAGGAAGCATGCAGTGGTGCAAAATATTGAACCAAACACAATTCACATTCTTCACATTCAATTCACATTGCTAGCAATTTGTGCGCTAGCACCCCTGCACACAAAAATGATGGCAGATACATCATGTGTTACAACTCATATTGAATTAAAGAGTACACTTTTACTAGATTCTCCTGCTATTCCGAAAGATTATGTCAAGCATGTCAACGGCTAAAGACTTATCGGTACATGCGTGTAGTGGTAAAAAGCGAGTCTCTGATGAAAGCATAGGTGTTGCGATGCGGCCTCACCACTCCGAAGTCACGAGCCATTGAATGATTAGATTGATATTGTAACGGGCAGACGAGAACGTCGAAGAGGACTGGGAGGAAGACTACGCGGTCAGTCTCTACGAGCCAGCTTGGCGCCATCTTGTCTGCCCCGAGTTCATTCTGTATTTTGTCCAGTAAAGTTATTCTCCCCATTAAATCATTGGTGGAAAATATGGGGTACTCACTTCACACAAGACGGAGCTTCGTAGTGGGCGCCTAGTGGCCTCCCCCATGGCGACTGAAGTCAACAATGCCAACTCTTCTCCAACTACCGTGCCTTCTCCAACCACTTCTGTGCTTTCTCCAACTGGCCCGTCAACCCTCATCTAGGAGCCCCTGAGAGATCCAGGTACCTTTTCCGGAAGCCTGGCTGAAGTCATACGAGCAAGTGGGTGTACGTATGCGATGGGACTTAATGCTCATGCTGGCCAACATGATTTCTTATCGCAGAGGCACCGCAAAGGTCTGGTATGAAACGCACGAGGAAGAGCTCACCAGCTGGGAGTTATTCAAGCAAAAGCTCCGGGAGCTATTCGGCAGGCCTGTGGAATGTCAATGCGTCACCCAAAACGAGCTCGCATGTCGAGTTCAGACGTGCACCAAATCCCATCTCGCATACATTCAGGAAGTGCCTGCTTTGTGCCGCAAGGTGCACTCTCAGATGTCCGAAGTGGGTAAGGGTGCCCATGTTATTAAGGGCATACCAGATGATGCCTTTTACCTTCTTGTGTTCAAGAATTCATCTATGGTCCAGGATATTATTTCTGAATGCCGGCGCTTTGAAGAAGCCAAAAGCCACCATGTTCTTCACCAGTTTGCCTGCCTTCCAAACACGGCTCCAAAATCCACATGCGAAGATTCTCGCCTGCCTTCTACAGAAAGTCCCGGCGACGTCTGTATTGTCCGTCTGGAAATAAAAGCCGCGGCTCCACTCGCGTCACCCTCCCCCAACTCCGACATCTATCACGCCACTGTCTCCCTCATCCAGACTGTCGCGAGTCAAGAATCGGCGAGCCCCAGCTTGAACAATACCTGCTCCATTCATCGTTCAGACTACGCCCCACCAAATCCACCCACGACTGTTGTGATAACGTGGGATTGCAGAAAAAGGTCGGTTGGGCGCAACGCGATGGAATGGTGCACCCCAGACGACCGGCCAATATGCTTCAATTGTGCTCCTATAGGCCACATTTCGCGCCACTGCCGTGCTTGGTCCACCTCTGCTCTGTGGCCTCACCCTCATCACCCACCTGCCTGGAATTCACACCCGTCACCACAAACAGAGCTGCTCACGCCCAACGATTTCTCGCCCCCTCGATCCAGCCGCTCCGCTTCATTGCAATGCCGTTTCTCCTGCTCGCCCCCATCTCATCGATTGCCATCCCCTAGCTCCTTCCGGCGCTCATCTCCAGAAAACTGACAGGAGCAGCTCTTGGAGGTGATGCTGCAATACCGACCCGATGCCAAAATCCTCCATTGACCCTGCCCGCACATTGGAACCTTATCAATGTTGACGTCGACGGTGTACCAACTACGACCCTTATTGACACTGGCACACACGTGTCTATCATGAATGCTGACCTTAGAACACGGCTGAAGAAAGACCTAACTCCTGGCCCAACTCCTGTGGTCCGAACTCTCGATGGTGGAACAGCCGCCGGACACATCAGTTCTGTTTTAAGTTTAAGAACATTGCTCTCACGACATGATTTTGCGCCACGACTTTTTGTCTGAACATTCAGCCTTGATAGACTGTTCTGCCGGTACAGTGCAACTTGCTCTACCTACTATTGTTGATCCTCCAAGTTGCCCTCCAAGTCTGCTCTGTTCCACAGAACACCTGCGTCTCCCTCAACGATCAGTTGCTTACATGTTTTCCCTGTCCCACCTGTGCCAGACGGTGTTTATACTGTATCCCCCAATGTTGACGTCCTGCTTTCGCACAACGTTGCATTTCCTCACACCGTCGTAACTATAACAGCCAACGCATCCTGCCTACCACTAGTGAATTTCCGCCTATGTACACAAGTCCTCCCTCGTGGCATATCTTTTGCTGAAATCATGCCGGCAGCAGAGTGCCATATTCGCACTCTAAGTTATGACAGCATCCCGAGTGCAAAGAAAACCTTGCCTACTCGTCCATCAAACCAAAGTGTCTTAACAAAGATGATTGCACCCGACTTATCGAAAGAACAAGCTAATGACCTGCGTTTCCTCCTTGCATCTTTTTGGGACATCTTTGACCTTGGCGACCGCCCCCTCGACCGGACGTCTTTTTTTAAGCATCGGATTGATACAGGTGATAAGAGTCGCATCGATTGGCGACCCTATCGCATTTCCCATGCTCAGCAGCGCATCATCCAACAGGAGGTCAACAAAATGCTTTTTCGGAATATCATCAAGCCTTCCTGCAGCCCATGGGCGTCCCCTGTTGTAATTGTCAAGAAGAAGGACAACAGCTGGAGATTTCGCATCAATTATCGGAATTTAAACAAGATCACGAAGAAGGACGTCTACCCTTTGCCACTCATAGACGATGCCCTAGATTGCCTTCATGGCGCAAAATATTTTTCCTCCATCGACCTTCGCTCCGGACACTGGCAAATAACCATTAATGACATGGACCATGAGAAGACGGCGTTCATCACTCCCAACAGCCTTTACCAGTTTAAAGTGATACCATTCCATTTATGCAATGCGCCCACCACGTTTGAACGTATGATGGACGCCCTGCTGCACGGCTTCGAGTGGTCCATCTGCCTGTGCTACCTGGATGATGTCATCTTTTTTTTCTCCTTTTTTGACGCACCTTGAAAGGCTATCGCCTGTGCTACCTGGATGATGTCATCTTTTTTTTCTCATTTTTTGACACACCTTGAAAGGCTATCGAAAATCATATCTATCTTTCGTACGGCGGGACTGCAACTAAATTCGGCGAAGTGCCACTTTGGCAGTCGTGAAATTTTTGAGCTCAGACATCTCGTTGATTCTGTAGGGGTTCGCCCTGATCAAGATAAAATATGGGCAGTAAAATATTTCTCTGTACCAACCTGTACCAAAGATGTTCGCAGTTTCGTTGACCTCTGCTCTTACTTCCGCCACTTTGTTAAAAACTTCAACGACGTCGCACGCCCTCTCACTTTACTCCTCAAAAAAGACGCTGGCTTTATCTGGGGCCCTGAGCAAGCATATGCGTTCCAAAATGTAGTGCGGCTGCTTACTTCTCCTCCTATCCTCGTTCACTTTGAGGTTTCAGCTCTAACAAAAGTCCGTACAGATGCAAGCGGTATGGCATTGATGCAGTCCTGGCCCAGAAACAACAAGGACACTACCGTGTTGGTGCCTATGCCAGCCGCCTTCTTTCGCCTGCTGAGAGAAAATATTCAATAACTGAACGCGAATGTTTGGCACTTGTTTGGGCAGTCAGGAAATTTCGTCACTATTTATACGGCCGGCCATTCACAGTCATCACTGATCACTACGCCTTGTGCTGGCTTTCATCTCTGAAAGATTTTTCAGGCCGTCTTGGCCATTGGGCGCTGCGCCTTCAAGAATTTGACTACTCAGTCCTGTACAAAACTGGCCACTTGCATCAAGATGCCGACCGCTTGTCCCGATATCCTGTCGACCCTCTAGACGTCAACTCCTCTACAACCACCCTTCCTGCCGACGTTCTCTCTTTATCCGCATTTCATGACATTGGTATCGAGCAGCGACAGGATGCTTTCTTGTACAGTATTATCCGAAGGCTAACATCGGTGACGCCCGACCCTTCCCTTCGAATGTTTGAGTTACATGATGGTGTACTGTACCGTTGTAATATGCGTTTTGTCGGCCTAGAAAGACTAGTCGTCATTCCCCTTCAATTGCGTCAGACTGTTCTTGCCCAGCTTCATGATGCACCGATGGCCAGTCACTTCGGCGTGCCATGGACCTACGACAAAGTTCACCGGCACTTGTTCTGGCCTGGCATGTACCACGACGTCTGCTGTCATCTTGTAGCCCGCTATCCTTGTCAACGACGGAAAAAACCAAATGCCTCTCCTGCCGGACGTCTTCGGCCACTAGACATCCCACGAAACCCACTACTGTGTTGCCGTGGACCTGCTTGGCCCTTTTCCTACGTCAGCTGCAGGTAATTGGTGGATTGCAGTAGCAACTGATTATACTACCCGATACGCGATCACACGGGCCCTTCCAACCAGCTGTGCAACTGATGTGGCCGATTTTATTTTGGAGGACGTCATCCTACACTACAGCGCCCCTCGACAACTCCTTACTGACCGAGGCAGCTACTTCCTTTCCAAAGTGGTTGATGACTTCCTCCGTTCCTGCACAACTAAACACAAGCTTTCGACTGCTTACCATCCACAAACAAATGGTCTAACGGAGCGCCTCAATCGCACTCTCACCGACATGCTCTCCAAGTATGTCTCCACCGATCACCACGACTGGGACACTATGTTACCATTTGTAACATTCGCGTACAACTCCTCTAGACACGACACCGCTGGGATCTCTCCTTTTTTTCTGTTGTTCGGCTGTGACCCTGCGCTACCTTTCGAGACGCTTTTGCCGACCGGACTGACATGTCTGAGTACGCTCAAGATGCAATAATGAAGGCCCAAGCAGCACGCCAAGTTGCTTGACGACGACTACTGGACACCCAAAACAATCAGAAGAGAATATATGAAGCCCGCCATCGTGGTGTTTACTTCGCACCCGGCAATGTCATTCTGCTTTGGTCCCCCTCGTGCTGCCTTGGACTTTCGGAGAAGTTAAGGCTGGTACACACCGGCGACTAGCAGCAGTCGCGCGACCATTTGCGACTGGTTGCAAACAGTCGCGAACGGTCGCAAACAGTCGCAAACGGTCGCAAACGGTCGCGAACGGTCGCGAACGGTCGCGAACGGTCGCGAACGGTCGCAAAGCGACTGCTTTGGCTAGTCGCTTCCTGACCGATTCTTCAGTCGCGCGACTGCAGTCGCAAAGCTGCTGGAACCAATCAGCGATGCTCAATTTTTGTTCTTTTGTTTTTCATTGCGCTGGCTTCCTGCCGCCAGATACAAACGAGTGCGTTCCTCTGGGTCTGTGGCAGCATGGCCACCACGGAATACTTGGCTTGGAGATGGCGAGGCGCAGCAGCTCGAGCAAAGTGTCGAATTTACGTGGCGGTATTTGCAAGAAGGTAAACACCGTCAAAGTAAAGAGAAAATAAATTGTGCACTATCTTTTCCCCATATTCAGAAACGTTTTATTGTCTTGAACTTGATTTGTCACCGCCTTCAATGCAGCGCGCTTGGAACGCGTTTGTGCTTCATGCTTTGCCAACGACTTAAGACACCACGTTCGAGACGCGTTTGTGCTGTATTGTAGGCTGTGGCAAGTCAATTTAAATTCAAAGACTGTTTCTGAATACGTACGACTCTCGGAAACACTCTTCGTCGTCTCAGCGCAGCTCGGGAGGCAGGCGGCTTGCATAGCCGGCCAACTCCCGCGATCGAAAAGACGGTCACACCCACTACCGGCTTTTTTTTCTTTGGAGGCATCTGTGATGCCAGCGCTGACACCATGGCACAGCGCATCAGCACCATGACAATGTCTAGTTCTTTGCTTGAATCGAACTTGACCCTGTTGGGAACGCTGTGCGAGAACGGACGAAAACAATAAATGCGACGCGCCCGGTTTGCTCCGCTCACTCAGCTAGTGGTGATCAGCTGATCGGTGCCGGTCTCTACAGTTCTAGCTGACAACGAGATCCGGACGTGACTCTCCGCTTTCGCGACTTCCGGTCGCTCGCATGTAGCCCCTGCCGGTGTGAACATCAGTCGCTTTTTGGTCGCCAGTCACAAATGGTCGCGCGACCGCTGCTAGTCGCCGGTGTGCACCAGCCTTAACTCCCACGCTATTCAGGTCCCTACCGCATCTTACGCCAAGTCACTGACATCACTTACGAAATCACCCCTACGGACCCCGCCATCACTCACCCTCACACTGACATAAAGCGCCTCAAGCCATATCACTCCAGTACCTCCTGATTAGCACCGGGTCGGTGCTCCAGTCGCAGGGGGAATCATGTAACGGTTGGACAAGAATGGCGAAGAGGACAGGGAGGAAGACGACATGGTCAGTCTCTACGAGCCAGCTTGGCACTATTTTGTCCGCCCCCAGTTCATTCTGTATTTTGTCCAGTAAAGTTATTCTCCCCATACCAATATGTAGGGTTTAAAGTTCCAAAACCACTACAATAAAAGCTCGTTAATTTGAACCACAAGGAGAAGCGGCTTCAGTTCGAATTAACGAAAGTTTAACTAACGAAAGTGAAGAACAACAATAGTACACTGCGAGTAGGGCATAACAATTTATTTTTAGAAAAAATCTGTGATCGCGGTCTGCCTTCTTTCCTTGAAGGCGACAGCCAGCACTTTTTGCTCTAACAAGCGAATTTGGCGGTAGGCCTCTTCTCCACCTTCTTCAAAACTTAGAAAAGATGGGCGGCATTCAATCCGGCCATGACTTCCGCAGCAGAGGGCCGCACTGGTGCTTTGTCCTCCTCCTGATCATCGTCACTGGCAGCGACAGGTTCTGCACTTCTAACCTGACATATTATGTCGCCATCCGTGAGTGCACCACGCACCACTGCACTTGAGTCCACATCGACGTAATCCGCAAAGCAGACTTTTTCCAAAACGTCCGCCATGGGGGCGGTGACGCCGTGTTCGAGCACTGGTGGCTCGACAGCTTGCAGAGGTTCAGTGCTGAAGCCACAGTGGCTAAAGCAATTCGCTATCGTAAGCGCTGTCACTTGGCAGTTATTGCACAAAATAATTCGTTCCAGCATATGACGCTAATAAAATGATTTTAAATTTCTAATTGTACCCAGGTCCATGGGCTGCAGTACCGCTGTTGTGTTTGCTGCAAGTGTTTTGGCACGGTATTTGCCGCGGGCACACGCCATCAAGTCAGAGCAGCAGAATCTCAACAGACGGAAAGCTACTACCGGCGCTACCGCAACAAACGTTAGCCGAGGCTTAACACCAACACAAAGAATCACGACAGTCGGAAGCTACTCCCAGCACCAGCAACCGAGGTGTACGATGCACGCCCGAGACAGAGACTGCAGAGAAGGCTGGCCAAAGCTACGACGCAGCCGATTTGCTGCGTGCTGGTCCTGCCATCTGTCATCTAACAGCGACAACTACGCAGGATTTTCAAAGGCTCCGAGATTGGCGCTTAAAAAAAGAAACAAATCTTGGAGGTTACGTAGGACGAAGAGCAGGCGGCCGCCAAGAGAGAGATTGTGGGGGGAGGGGGGTGAAGAATAAGTGGCGCTATTTTCTGCACTCCGGCCTCCGTGCCAGTTTCTCCATTTTTCTCTCCGCTCCCTGTCAACGCTGCCTCGTAACTCGGCAGCCGCCCTAACAAGTGACTAGCCAAGCCGCCAGCGCGGTGGCGCGTAGTTCGAATTATCCGCTGTGGAATTTACTTGTGTTCAAATTAACAGGCTTTTTATTCATAGGCTTGTATTGAACTTGGCCAGACCACAACTTACAGTTCAAATTATCCATAAATTCAAATTATTGAAGTTCGAATTAGCGAGCTTTCACTGTATATCATTATTAAAGACGCCCTAATGGTGGGCTCCGGAAATTTCGACCAGCTGGTGTTCTTTCACATACACCCAAATATGAGCACATGGGCCTAAAACATTTTCGCCTCAATCGAAAATGCAGCCGCTGCAGCCAAAGTCACGAGCTAATTAGCAATGGCTGAGTTGGTAGCGAAATTTTTTGGCAATCCTAGGCAAGTTCTTTCCCCTTTGTGTACCGACAAAATCTTCGTTGAAGCGGAAGTATCCAGTAAATATATTTGTTGTGACGAGACATTTCCCGCATTTTTCTCTATAGGCAACCTGACAGGGAATAAAAATTATCCATTGTGGCAGAAATTTCGTTGTAGCGGACTTCATTATGACATTCGAGTGTACTATGATATGCTTATTTACTGTGTAGATCTCAGTTTAGAAATGATCTTGGTGCCTGAAAGGTACATGACATATTTTGTGTCTTAAATACTGTGCATTATACTAGAAGTACACATTAAGCTCACCAAGTTTCATCAAAATTGATCAAAAAACAAAGATATATTTTTAAGAGCAGTGCCTCTCTTAAAATTAAGCATCCCACTAACCACACGAAAATATATAAAAGCATTGTACTTTCAAGCATACTATATTTGTAACATATATTGACAAGATGCTTTACATACGTTGAAGTATTCAGCCACTTTCCAAGGCGTGGCCATGGAAGTCACTAGGACCACCGTGCATGGCATAGCGTATTGTCCAGAGCCTAGCTGTACGCTCAAAGCTCAGACGATCTTCAAGGTACAGTCGTCCCACTTCGGGTTCCATACAGACAACACAGTATGGATCTGTCAAAAGGGACTGGATACTGATGAGCACCTGCACACATAACAAATCAAGCTCAGCAAAAAACTTTCAGAAGACAGCGAGCTCAGCTTATATATATAAAAAAAAAAACATGCAACATGTAACTCTACGTATCACATCAAAATTTTGGGTGCAAAGCAAATTCGAATATTGAAGTGTGAGTGAGAATCGAATAATTCTCAAATATTTCTTGTATGTCTTTCGAATACTTCGAAATGAAATTGCAGAGAAAAAAATTGGAGAAGATTCTTAGGCATATGCTTACGAGATAGCAACATGATAGCATTTCTTTTGGCTAGGTTGATGAAGCACTGGCAGGTAGGCGTTTCATAGCTATCTCATCAAGAATGAGACAATGCTGAGGGCGAATAGTATTTATGCAGATGATTTGGTGCAACTAAAGTGTTGCCGACAACACTTTACATGTGAATGACAATGATGCTATTTCCTCAGCCTCTCCTCCTCTTTCAACTTCTGTGGAAGCCAGATCTACCATTTACATGTCGGAACTACCATTTTCTTGAGTCAATGCATTTGCAACTGTAGCAGAACCTGAAAGGCAGCATTGCTGCAATATGACTGTGTGATGGGTGAAGCATGTTAAAAATCTGAAGAGACCACTGTCTATTTGACATTATTCGAAACAGTATTTGCAAAATATTCGAAATATTCAATATTCGCACACCCCTAGAAGACAGGCTTGTCTACAGAGGCACATGATCATTCTGTTACCGCCCCCCCCCCCCCCCCCCCCCGGCAAAACGAGATACGAGGTGCCATGACACTTCCCCCAATATAAGCTTGGATGATATAAGAAACGCTAAACAGTGTGGAGAGTGACTCCTCAAAACATGATGGTATTGACTGCCCCCAGAGGCCCCGTTTGAGGACAGCCAAACTTCGGCAGTTTTTTTTTTTTAATTGTTTATCAGCAATAAAGTTCCCCTGTTTCCTTGTACATTCAAGAGATAAATAAGCTTGAAATAAATTGACCAGAAATGTTCTTCTGGGGACTGAAGACGTTAAAGAATTTTACACGCACTAAACTTAGTCACAGAACAGTTGTCTTTTATAATTATTTTTTTATATAGAAGAATTAGAGCTGTGGCCATACTATTGAAAGGATTGCTTATAGACAAACTGGGTGAGTTGGCAGGTATGTGTTCCCAAATATTTCACATTCTTTACAATGCCACTGCACAAGCCCTCTTTCTTAGTGGCAAGTCACGAGACTCCTCACAATCTTGAAAGGCTTTCATCCTGGCAATACCAACAATCCAGACCCCTACCGACCCCCCCCCCCCCCCCCCCCCCAAATGGCAGAGGGCAGCACAGCTAAATGTAGAAAACAGATAGTGCATGTTGACGTTGTGAGGCCAAGCTACAGGTGATCCCTCGTTTCTACGAAGTCGCTTTACTCGAATTATCTCTTTTATCAAAGTGTTACGCAGTCCCTACCCTAATAAGTGTATTTTAGACCGCATTACTAGGAGTGTCTCGTTATCTTTTGCCGACTTCTGTTTTAAGCGTGTCGATACGCCCAGCAACAAACCAAAGCGCCTTTCAGAACGCAGTACCTGTGGGTAAACAGGTTTCATGGAACCAAAAGGCATACGTTGGGAGCTGGTACCAGTAAAAACAATTCACGAGTGAGCGTAGAGAACAATATTATTTATTGACAGCAAACCAGCCATGATGTTTTAATGCAAAAAATTAATCTATCGCATTAGAACCATTATCGAGAGTTCACAAACTGCACATCTTTGTCTTCAGAGGCAAAACGAACAGAATAGCGTGTCTTGCTTGTAGGAACTATCATTACAGAACAGTCTTAATTGAAGAGCCTTTTCCGTGTAGGTAGTCTGCGCATGCGTGCCGGCCTCCAGGAGGCATACGCCATAATTTTTGGTGGCCAAAAGTGACGACACAAGCGGACCAAAAAGGCAGACAGACAATAGCCTGAGAACCGCCGTTCACCGCCCTAGTGAAGAGAGGGTGAAGTTCCCGTCGCTCGAACGGGCCACGCTTGCTTAGTTTTCCTAGGAGCTTTTATCTCGCATTTTGCAAGCTATGTGCTCTGCTTTTTCGTCATCTTCAGGCACACACTTTTGCTGCTTTGTGATCTGCTACAAAAGTATGAAAAATGTTGAAGAGCTGAACACTGTCTGTGAGGTTCTACCATTTCCAGTGCAAGCAGTGAGAGGAGTAAAGGCATAAAGATCTGGATTATGGCAATAGGCCTTTTCCGAGTAGATAGCCTGTGCAAGCGCGCCGACCCTGAGAAGGCATGTGCTATAATTTTTGGTTGGTAAATCGTGACAAGTGCGTACCAAGCGACATCTGGTGCCACAAACATGCAAATGTTCGCCCCAAAGAGAGGTGCGAACGCAGGCCTCCCAGATTTCCTACTGGCATGCTGAGGACAAATTTCGTAGTTCAAGAGCCACCAATTTTGATTTCGGCGATCTCCACTTGGGGTGTTGTTTTGACTAGGAAAAGTCCCATTCCAGCTGTTGCTTTCGCCGAGTATGGCTTTACACTTTCACTTTTTATTGCATTACGGCATAGTGTGGTCAAGCTGAGGACACAAGTAGATGGGGTTTTTCACAAGGAAATCATTGTAGCAAAAGTTTAGAGAAGCACAAGCATTCGAACTTGTGCAAGATTACCGCAAATGTACGTAGTACAAAAATACACAGCACTGACATCGGTAACAAGGTCTCATAGTGAAATCACTGGCAAAAAATAACAAACATGTGCGCATTGACAAAAAGAATGATGTCATTGCTGTGAAACTTGCAGAAATAGGTGCTTTCAGCGGAATGACAGTTCCTGTGGCATTATACAGCATTACCGCGACTATGAAGAATGCCGCGACTATGAAGAATGCCGCGACTATTACCGCGACTATAAAGAATGCTAGAAAGAAAATGGAACACCGAGAACCACGTTAACCATTGTACGAAGAAAACTAACTGCGCATGTGTGCATCAGCTGCCCCTGCCGAACAGCGATAGCGCATGTTTTCCGCTTCGTCACCAATAAAAGAATCCACGATAGGAGTCACATGGCACCACAATCACTAAACAAATTTAGTTCTCAGAAGTACTAGTCAATGCACAACACGGAATTCAAATGTTACCCTTCAATTGTGTAGAAAAGAGCACATTTTTGCGAAAATAGTGGCTCTCTTCGCTTTAAATTTTGAGCTTACTATGGTGCCTCTAGCGGATTTTTTGGCGTGCCCTAGGGCAGATTCGAACGAAGCCGCCATGGTACTTCTTAGCTGTTGATTTTTTCACCCCCTGCCCCTCGGCGATGCGTGGAACTTGAGACTCTCCGAGGCCTGGCGCCTCCTTCAACATTGAAACGACACGCTAGTTATATATCACTTACCGCTGGCAATGCCAATCTCGGGAAAACTATCGTGTTTTCAGCATTACCAGCAAGATGGCGCAATGAGCGTGCGTCGCCAGATCATCACGACGTGGCGACGCACGCTCATACGTTCATATCCTACGCATACTTTTCTCCGCGAAGGGACAAAGACTCTCATGCCTGCGCGAGCTTATCTCACGATGGCAATAACCGTACTCCTTGAGCTTTCACTGGAACGATTCTGTTGTAGTTACCGGATGCACAAAGGTCACTGGGCTCGCTGCAGTCTCCGTTTGAAAAAGGGCACACTTTTCACACAAAGCAAAGTAACAACTTGGACACTTATTCACGTTCATCTGTACCTGTGAGTACATTTCGTGCGTCATTTGTGCGTAAGCAACACAGGGCACGTTTTGATCTGCTTGCCATCTTAGCATGACATTCCAATTAGTTGACATCGCATTCATTGCTTCGCCTTTGCTGCGGCTTTTTTCCATCCGTGGTTGGAAGACACACATGTGAACCCGTGAGATCTGTGTGACCCCGTGATGATGTGTGTGCGCATCATGAGTGCATTTCGTTGCCGTCAAGTGAACATGGCACCGCCGGCGCTTGCACGCAAGTGTCTGACATTGGGCAGAAGGTTCAACTGATAAGTGAGCTATAAATGCCGGCAGAAGTATGAAATTGCAAGACAATTCGCAATACTGCCGTCAACATTATTAACTGTTCTGATGAATAAGGATGCCGTACTGGACGGCTTCGAAAAGAGCTTCCCAGTCAAACGAAAGTGCATGTATCCTGAAGTGGAAAGAGCACTCCTCGAATGGCTGAAAAACGCTATAAGCGCAAACATTCCTGTAAATGGGCCTGCATTGACCGCAAAAGTCGAAGCCCTAGCCGCCCTAACGGGCAAGCAAGATTTTAAGTGCAGCAATGGCTGGCTTGATCGTTTCAAGAGACGGCACGGCGTGTCTTCAAAATCGATCGTTGGTAGAAGTGCAGCCGTGGACCGCGATGTTGTGGACGGATGCCGTAAGCATCGGCTGAGCGCCCTACTTCAGCAATAAGAAGATAGAAACCTTCACAACTAAGACGAGGTAGCATTCTTTTACAAACAGTTGCCAAAGCCCACGTACACTACACCGGGCTGAACCTCATCACAATGTATTGCTATGCCACAGGCATGGTCTTCGCTTGGGAGCGCTTCTTTTAACGAGATCGACCGCTGTTCCGGGGAACTGTCTCCCTCCTCCCAGCGCCACCTTCCATGCAGAAGGCGGTAACGTGCAGTTCCGGGAATGACGTCGCTTCCTCCGCCGAGCCACCTTACAGTTCCGAGTATGGCTGCGTCTCCTCCGTTGAGCACCGGGAACTGGTCTCCAAAAAGGGACCCAAAAACATTATTTAAGGCCGTGCCGGCCCCATGTTTAGAGGATTTTGCCCCAGCCGACGTTGTCGTGCTGGCCGGCTCTGTACAAACGACAACCTGCTACAGTAAACGCTCCTTCTTGTTGCTGTTTTCAAAACGAATTGCCTCCCTGTTTCAACTTCGGGCAAAGGCTACAGCAAAGTCTGTTTCACTGCTCGCCGCTCTTGGCTACCGCTACCATCGCAACACAGCCGATTCGCAA